TTCAATTAAGTGCAATATAAATATAGATAAGGTGGGTGTACTCTTTACAATTGTTTTTCACCTCATTTTATTTATTTATTTTTTTTTATTTGATTGACAGCTGGAGGTCCGCAACGGTTGAATATTTTGAATCACAGTGTGACGTGACGTGTGGATTTTTCTTGTCTTTATTTATTTATTTATTTTAATTGAGGTTGCAATTGACTGAGACAGATTGACATTGATGTGCAAGGACAGTGCCGCCGTGACGGAGAAAGTTTGGACCTTCCGTCCGGATGGGGAACAGCGCTCTCAAGTCCCACCTGGAGACTTCCCAGAAGACGGGAGTATTCCAGCTCACTGGAAAAGGACTTCCGGAGGTGAGACATGTCTGGTACCAGCGTGTTTGGGTACCATTTTAGTTTGACGGTCTGCATTTTGAAGTATGGTTTGGATTCTACTGTCATCGTGTTCTAATACTGTCCAGGCTCAGCAAGTTGTTGTATTATATACTGTATCTGTTTTCAGGTACAGTCAGCATGTACGTGTTTCACAGTAGTACCACCTAGAGCCACATAATTTGTATGTTCCGGTTCCATGTTGTCTTTGACGGTCAGCATGTCCTGGTACCTTATTGTCTTCAGTTTCCCGAGGAACTGCAGCGGCTTACGGCAAACCTCCGAACCGTGGACCTGTCTGACAACAAGTTGGAGTCGCTTCCTCCTTCCATTGGAAACTATGCGCAGCTCCGGAGTTTGACCCTCAACGCCAACAGGCTGGGTGAGTGCAAATCGTCACGATCCAAAGGTCAGTGGCGCTGAAACGAGGCATCAAACTCTTCAACGCTCACGTGGGGTTGCTTTTTGGTCCTCAGGCGGACTCCCCGACGAGATCGGGAAGCTGAAGAAACTGGAGACTCTTAGTCTGAGTTCCAACCGGATCCAGCATCTCCCGCCCACCATGGACCAGCTCAAGGCCCTGCGGACCCTCATCCTGGCTGGGAACCGCATCTCGGAGTTCCCTACCGGACTCGGAGGCCTGAGACACCTGGATCTGCTGGACTTGTCCCGCAACCAGATTCAGAGCGTGCCGCCAGAGGTGTCAGAGTTACAAGTCATTGAGATCAACCTCAACCAGAACCAGGTACCAAACAATTAGCCCGGTCCAAAAAGAACCCCAACCCATTACCAAATCATAAGATCGACCCGGCAAGAGCCGCAACCCGATAACATACGACAAACCCGATTCCAATCACGTCGGGATGTCGCGCATTTGAGGGCTGCAACAGGTTCCCCCAAAAAACTGGAGCAGGGTCTTGTTTCCCACTTTGTGATATCACCTTTTCTTTGAGCAGCGTTTCGGAAGGGAGGAGACAAACCGCTGAAGCTTTGCGGGTGGTCTTCGTTCCCATTCTGGCTTGATCTTCATCCCTGCAACAGTCCGGGCTCTCGTATGTGACGCTTTGTAATGCGCCA